TTGCTCATATCCCGGAGGCGGGATATGTTAGAGATACGGGTATTTGGTGTCGTCACGTGATCCTGGACGTATGTCGAGATTGGGGTGTGACAGTAAAGGATGTTGGGGCTAATGTTATTATGATGTGCGTTCTAACGAGGAGGTTAGATGCAGCCATAAAGTATACGAAAAATTATTACACAGTTGGATCTTGAGTTGTGCTTTGTCCATATCCCGGAGGCGGGGTATGTTAGAGATACGGGTATTTGGTGTCGTCACGTGATCCTGAACGTATATCGGGATCGAAGCATGACAGTAAAGGATGTTGGGGCTAATGTTATTATCTTATCTCAGGTTATGTCATCCTCTGAATTTGTGTTCATGGTATGCTGAAGAAAGTAAATGCTGTTTCTGGGTTACTGTAGTCTAGATTTCGTGAGATTTTGAATGCTGGGTGTCTTTATCAGGTGCTTGCTTTTTATTTGACTATGTTCTTGACCAGGTTGCTCGATATGTAAATTAAGCAGATCAAGGATAATGTACTGACACTGACAATTAGTTTATCGTTTACTTGTGAAAAACCTTATTGGACCCATATTTTGTAGATCAGTTAAAAAATTATAAGAAGAATTGAAAATGGTGACATGAATTTTAATGTGAAAGAATGTGTTGGTTTATATTCAGATATGTTTTATTCCATGTGAATAATGATTAGTTTATTTCATTCTTAACCGATTCCCACATTGAAATTTTTACTGCGCGCTATTTTTTATTTTATTTAACATATGTTTGAATGTGTCTTTGCGTTCATTTTTTAATACGAATTTCTGGCACCTCTTCCCTCACAGGTTCAAGTCATTCCAAACTGTAGTATTTTGGCAGCAGTTGGCCAAAAAATTGCATGTACACCAAGAGATAGTGCAACTCTTTTCAATGCACTAGCAAAGGTTAGGGATTATTATCATTTTATTAATTTTGGCAACAAGTTGTATTATTTTATTTTATTTAACATTTCATGTTTTGTACACTGGTTTACAATACGGGCTACTGTAGAGTTTGATTCTGCGTGTTTCTCATATTCCATTATTTACAATACGAAGGGATCTAATATGTTTTACTAAATGCAGGCAAAACATTAATGTGTGTGCAATTGCTCATGGTTGTACTGAGTACAAAATTACTGTAGTGATAAAGCGGGATGATCGTATTAGGGCTCCGAGAGCTGTTAATTTTAGATTATATCTCAATATGAAATTATGCATTTGGGTTGAAATTAAGCTCATGTTTGATATTTGTGAACATACGAATACTTAATGTTAAGGTAAGTACTCATTAAACCACCTGATTCTGTTTGTTGTTCGTTTAGATGAATTTAGAAATTAATTGATGAACAAACACTGAAAGGCTTTGGAATCTTTCACTGTAAGAAATGATACATTGCTAGAAGTCAGGGGTAACCCAGAGTCTTTCCTATATGCAAGGATATCTGCTGAGGAGTTGGTTGATTCTTGGATTCAAGGAATTTGTGGGTCAAGGAGGGCAAAATATCCTCTAAAGTTGATTTTCACCGTCCCATCATCATGCATTAGCAGGTTCACTCTAGAAATTTTCTAGGCAGAAAATAAAAAAGGTGTGGCTTTGCGAGACAAAAGACATGATGTTCAACCTAAACAGTAGCAAAAGAAGTAGAGGTATTTAATATGCAATAGAAAGCCAAAGTTTTTGCCTTACGTAGAGACCCTTGATTTTGGTTTGATCTTTTGTTTCCTTTTTCTTTTTTCTTGTTTAGCATTTAGGTCTTCTCCTAATTCACACATTCAACCAACATTGCATTTTTGTTTAATAGTCTAAAATTCTAGCTTGAAACCCTCTGGTTGGTTAGTGAGAAACAAGAAGAAAAATAATTGGGATACAATTAGGGATGGGCAAAATACCCGTGGTTATGGGTAACCGCGGTTACCCGCCCATTTAAACTTCACGGCTATGGTTATGGGTAACCGTTCAGATAAATAAACGGTTATGGGTATAATCATTTACCCGTGAAAATTAAATGGGTGGTTATGGGTATCAACCGCTGTTATAAATGGGTAACCGTTTACCCATTTATTTTATATATGTAAAATTAACACAAATCATGTTTCTAGGGTGGAAAAAAATACCGAAAATTCCAAACCGGACCGAAAAAATCCCAAACTGAAAATCCTGAAAATTTCAATACCCAATCCCAAACCGATCCCGAAATTTCGGTACCGGAATCGGTCTCACATTTTCTTTCGTTTGGTAATCCCAAACCGAACTGAAAAAAATATATTATTTAATTTTAAATATATATTTGGAATTGTAACAGCCATCGGATTTGGTTGAGATTTAATCTCAACCGTTGAATTCAAATAAAACCCTCACTCAGCCGTCCTTAGATCCATGTATAAGTTTGTCCTCCCCATCTCTGCACCTAAGACTATTAAATCCAACATACTGAACACTTAGAGTTGCAGGAAGTTCTCCAAAGTTGAAAGCTGTAGAGATTGCAGCTGCTTACACGTTTGTTATTGGGGGAGGGGGAGAGGATTTTACAACTGAAATACATACTCTACGGTTGTTATTGGGGGACGGGGAGACAAAAGACATGATATTCAACCTAAACAGTAGCAAAAGAAGTAGAGGTATTTAATATGCAATAGAAAGCCAAAGGTTTTGCCTTACGTAGAGACCCTTGATTTTGGTTTGATCTTTTGTTTCCTTTTTCTTTTTTCTTTTTTAGCATTTAGGTCTTCTCCTAATTCACACATTCAACAAACATTGCGTTTTTGTTTAATAGTCTAAAATTCTAGCTTGAAACCCTCTGGTTGGTTAGTGAGAAGCAAGAAGAAAAATAATTGGGATACAATTGGAAATGTTATTAATTTTCACCAGTATAGACTATAAATTTCCAATATTTGTGGTTTGGTTTTTGCATACTACCGCTTTCAAAAACTTTTGATCAAGATGGCTTTGCACTCGGTATGATGATGAATTTCCAGCCCATAAATATCCTAAATCACGCGGTTATCATTACTTCTTTGGCGAATATATAATTCTATTGCACATTGTCACTTATCTAGATGGAGTGAACTCCAAAAAGAGAAAGGAGTTGTAGCAGATATGGAAAAGTTTGTGCAGCATGTACATGGGAATCACCGCACAGCTGACTCTATTAGTGCAAGTCATTACTATGACTGGTCGCGGTCGCGAAGTCACTCTTGGCTAAAAAAATAAATTCACAGCCGCTTGATCTAGTAATATCTCTTTTTTATACTTGTAAATTTCTTTCAAGTGTTTTATCTTTGATGATATCTAATTGTATATTCTTGTTTCTGTAGTACGTATAATTCCAATTAACTAAAAAGAACAAGAATGTCAACCATTTCTTTAATTGGTTGATCTACCCAAGTGCGTTTTGTGGTTTTAATTGATAGTCTTGCATCCAAAACCCAAGAATTTGGGATATCTTTCTTTCTAACAATCCTTCATATAAGCGTGATCCAGTTTATAACATGGTGGGATAAATATTGGATGCCTGATGAGCAAAAGAAGTAGACGTATCTAATATTGCATAGAAAGCCAAAGGGTTTTGCTTTAACTTTCAAATCATCAAATATGCTTATGTAGAAACCCATGTTCGGCCAGAATAGAAATCTTATTATTGACTTTGGTTGAATCTTTTGTTTCCTTTTTCTTTTTTTGTATTTAAGTCTCTCGTAACTCACACAATCAACCAACATTGCAATTTTGTTTAATAGTTTAAAATTCTTATATTTATCATTTACACTGGGAGGTGTGGGGAAGTATATCTCAATATGAAATTATGCATTTGTGTTGAAATTAAGCTCATGTTTGATATTTGTGAATATACGAATACTTAATGTTAAGGTAAGTACTCATTAAAATCACATGATTACAGAATAGATTGTCTATTTGTTGTCCATTTAGATGAATTTAGAAATTCATTGATGAACAAACACTGAAAGGCTTTGGAATCTTTCACTGTAAGAAATGATATACATTGCTAGAAGTCAGGGGTAACCCAGAGTCTCTCCTCTATGCAAGGATATCTGCTAAGGAGTCGGCTAATCCATCATCATGCATTAGCAGGTTCACCCTAAAAATTTTCTCAGCAGAAAATAAAAAAAGTGTGGCTTTGCGAGACAAAAGACATGATGTTCAACTTAAACAGTAGCAAAAGAAGTAGAGGTATTTAATATGCAATAGAAAGCCAAAGGTTTTGCCTTACGTAGAGACCCTTGATTTTGGTTTGATCTTTTGTTTCCTTTTTCTTTTTTCTTTTTTAGCATTTAGGTCTTCTCCTAATTCACACATTCAACCAACATTGCGTTTTTGTTTAGTAGTCTAAAATTCTAGCTTGAAACCCTCTGGTTGGTTAGTGAGAAACAAGAAGAAAAATAATTGGGATACAATTGGAAATGTTATTAATTTTCACCAGTATAGACTATAAATTTCCAATATTTGTGGTTTGGTTTTTGCATACTACCGCTTTCAAAAACTTTTGATCAAGATGGCTTCGCACTTGGTATGATGATGAATTTCCAGCCCATAAATATCCTAAATCACGTAGTTATCATTACTTCTTTGGCGAATATATAATTTTGTTGCACATTATCACTTATTGGACAAACCATTAGCCCAGTCCAGTGAAGTTTAGTGAAGGAAAACAAACACCCCTTGAGAGGTTTGGAGAGGGTAAAACGATATCAGTATCTTTTGGGGCTCTCCCACAACCAACCAACCTCATAGACAGTAAAATGGACTCCCATATATCATTCATACTTAACAGAAACGTAATGGCACTTCAAACAAGACCAGTAATTTAACACGACACTTACATGTGTTCAACGTTAATTTAAGTCATAATAATTAAAAGCCTGAAAAAGGAAAGCGTCGCGCCCTCCAAATTTCTATAGCAGCGGCAGCATCGGTTTATGATTCCTCAAGTTCCCCAGGCTCCATGTCCCTCATTCCTTTCCTCAAGCATCATATTCATTTTCCTCATCCTTCCTTTGCACGGCCCTAAAATATGGTTCTAAGTCCAGAAATTCTTTCTCGGGTTCCTGCATCAAACAATAACGTTCATCCTCTTTAATGTCTTTTCTCCATTTCGCAACTTCATCGGGCCCAATGCACGGGCAATCTGCAGTCCAGTGCTCACCCGATGCCAAACAATGGCCACAAAACTTGAGAGTAGCACGTCCAGTCCAGCCCCGGCGACCAGGATGCCCACCAGGCCGACCACAATACTTGCACCTTATTCCATACCTACCATCAAGAACAGTTACCTCCAGAGGGTTTGGGATACATTCTTTGTAAGGGCAATCATCAATCCAGTGGTCTTTCTCCTTTCCGCAAATTCCACAAGGACCACATTTAAGTTTTTCCGCTGCTAATTCTGCTTCGAAGTCCTTCTTTCCTGCCATTATTAACAACCAAAAACAAAAAGAATAAAAATCAGATCAAGGCCCATATTCCCAACACACAAGATAAGGCAGAACAACATGATATTAAGGTACACACACCAGCTGATCGTAGAGTAACATAAGTCATTCATTTCACAAATTTAATTTAAAGGACCGTTTGCTTTCTTAAGCTTAAATAAGTAAGCTTAGCATAGCCATGCCACCTGCTTAATATATTCCACTAAAAAACTGTTTAGCGGCAACACAACTGTAAAGACAGTCTACCAAAACTAAGAAAGAAAATTACAAACAATGAATTTCCGCTATGAAATTTTAAAGCGCATATTTTCAATTTTAAAATAGTACCACAAGCAGAAAGTTTGCTGAGAAAATAAAATCTTGCATGGTAACAAAAAGCAAAGACGAAATGGAGATTTTGCTGACAGAAAAAAAACTCAATATATATGGGGTAGAAATTGTAGACGGAGGTGTTTACAAAATCTCATGAAATAATTATCACACTCGGAAATTGACATTCATAAGCAACAAAAATAGTCACACTATTGAACCAAGTACACAAACTCTCAGCCAACTCATTGTCATCGCAATGTTAATGGGTAGCCTATGTAGACTAGACATACTCAACCAACAACAAATATCTACAAGAAATAAAACCGAATTCAACAATTTAATAATAGTTTAATCTCTGTAACGACATAATACCCATATGTTTACAACTGAAATACATACTCTAGGGTTGTTGCTGGCAGTGACGGATCCACAGAGGGACCTGGGAGGTCCCAGGACCCTTCGGCGACCCTAAATCGCTGCTAGAAAATTTCCGGGGACGTCTCTTGCAGTGCAGGTTGCAGGTACGACATCTTCTTGTTGGAGAAGATGACCGGAGAAGAAAGAAAATAATTGGCCCAAAAACGATAGTGTTTTGGCCAATTGTTTTAAATTGTTTTTTAAATCCCACCCAAAGTGTTTGTCCATTATTTAAATCCCACCCCCAACCCACATCATTCCCCACTGTCCCACCCTTCCCTCGTTTCCCGCTTTTCTGCTTCCCCCAATGCCCATCTTTAACATGTTCATCCAATTTCCAATCCCTAACTCCTCAGATTTCAAAACCCTAAAATTCTAAATCCCACACCCAATCCTGTATTATAATTTTATTACTCTAATATCATACCTCCCCAAATCTCTAGGCCACCACTATTTGGTTCCCAATTCAAGTAAGTTTTTTGGTATTCTAATCTAATCTCAATTAAATTATATTAGATATTGATGAAGATTTTTAGTCTATTATTGATATGATTGTTGATATGTTTTATGTTTATACTCATTTGATCATTAGAATTTAGATGGAATTTTTGTTTATTGGGTAATTGGTATATGTTTTGTATTTTTTGTTAAATGTGTAGTTTAGAAATAAGAAATATGGAATTTTTGTTTATTGGGTAATTGGTATATGTTTTGTATTTTTTGTTAAATGTGTAGTTTAGAAATAAGAAATATGGAATTTTTGTTTATTGGTTAATTGGTATATGTTTTGTGTTTTTTGTTAAATATGTAGTTTAGAAATAAGAAATATGGAAAAAAATTTCAAGCCACAGCCAATAGGACCATTTATTTGTCAGGTAGTTCAAGCTCAAGACAAAAGGACCATATTTTCAATGTTATTTTTGTCTATAATTTTTTTGACCTTTATTAATAGGACCCCCCGAGTTTAAAAACCTGGATCCGCCACTGGTTGCTGGGGGAGCGGGAGAGGATTTTACAACAAAGTTATCAATCATTTAATAATAGTTCAATCTCTGTTACGACAACAAACCCCATAGAGTTACAACTGAAATACATACTCTAGGGTGGGGGTACATTTTATCTGGTAGCAACGGAATTGAACTTCAAGGACAGTACGCGGATGGATATTTTATTTACCAAACTACAGGCTCAATTAAACTGCTAACCAAATAGAAGCCATGCACAGGCGTTGAAAGTAAAGACAAAGGGTAAAATGAAAAGCATACCTTGGGCCGCACCGCAAACAGGATCATCCACAAGACTGGCACGTCCCATACGAATCACTTCACCACGACTCTTTGGGTTTTTGGTTAAATCTCCATGAATTTTTGGTTCTATTGCCTTGTGATCTGTTTGAATTTTGCAATTCCATCTTAGAGTCAAATACAAATAAAACGCAAATTACATAATGTCTAAATCATACTAAGGAGCATCTCAAGGCCCGTGTAATAGGAACATCTAAAATTTTATTGCTACACTCATACACGCTATAAATGATAATATAATCATCAACTAAAATGCGAATTACATAATGTCTAGATCATACGGACCCAAGTAAATCATACAACATTAAAGTAACTTACTTTATTATTGATCTCATCGAACGCTGCAAATACAAACGACATCAACTTCTGAATTTTATTTATTTATTTTTTTTTTATGTTTCTACATATAATTCAATTCAGTTCAATTCAATTAAGTGCTAATCTAAGATTGCAAAAATGGATATATATATATATATATATATATATATATATATATATGACAGATGCAGAGCTAAATTGGCATGAAATCAAAGCTTGTCCGTTTAGCAGCGACCAAAAAGTAACTTGAAAATTATACAGAATTAACCACCCCTAAATAAATAAATGTAGCACTTTACAATTTATTTACATAAACTCCCTAAAACAAGCCCTATAAGTGCGTAATAAACCCTAAAAAAAGAAAAAAACTTACGATTACGAGTTCCTCTGTTCTGCCCCTGGGCCCATTCTGACTTGGCTTTCGCGTGGGCTTCTGCTCCTCCGCCGATTGCGCGGCGGAACATGGCAACGCATCCCTGAACGCGGCCTCCGATCACGGGAGCGGATCTAAAAGTCCGGCGGATCATGGCTCTCTGCGAGTGAGAGAGACCGAGAAACCTTTGCTATGGCTCGTTTTTGTGTGATAACAGATGGATAACTCTTCTGGGCGTTCTCGAGCAACAGCACCAATTTTCCAGTACATGCGTTTACAGAATGGAATAATAGCCGTTAGATCGTTTTGAGTCTACCGATCTGACGGCTCCGAGCAACACAATTCAGTGTGGGCCTGACGGGTTACCCAGCTTTTGGGAGGTTCTCAAGCAAGATATATATGAATTCGGATGGGTAGTCGGAATAAACCCAGAATTCGAAAGGGCATTAAAATACAGAAATTTGTATTTATATGTATACTAAAACTGAAAATTGCCTTTGGGCGAAAAAAAAAAAAAAAAAAAAAAAAAAACAAAACTCAAAATAGCCTAAAACACCGTTCATTGAACAGTTTGCTTCCAATTTTGCCGTTACTTATCTTTTATTATTTTAAATCTTGCCCCGTTTGTCATGTTGTCACTTGCAGCACATTCTTCGACACGTGGAATCCCATTCCATAGACACTTCCCAGTTCCTACCTTTTATCTCTCTTTGCAACAACATTACTGCGGTTACCTATCTCAAACTCCTCTCTCTCTCTCTTTCGCAGTGAAACTCTCTCCCCCACCATTCTCAATCCACTGCTTCTTCTCTGATTCATGTTTTCTCTCAACCAAAAACCATAACCCTGCTTCTCCAACTCTCTCTCGCCAGTGTGTAGGAAGCATGATCAAAGTCGTCAACCGCCATGCAGAAATTGAAGCAATATAGATAAGAGGTTATGTTTGTGTTGATAATTATTATTGGGCTTAGTGGGGATAAAAGTCCAAGAACACAAAAGCAAGAGAGAGATTGAGCTCAAACAATGTCAAAGGCCCAGGAAGAATTTAAAAATCATTTAAGCAAGGCATACACCATATGTCTATGTTAGAAGTGATGGACGATAGAGGGCAGCTCACCCCAGCAAAAAAAAAAAAAAATTTCAATGGCATGGATGAGTAAATAAGTGGTGACTCACCATCCTCCACATGACATCAGCAAAAAGCAAAGTTTGGACAATCGGGCTAAAACATCTATAAAAGTAGCAAGGGGCACCAAAGAAAATGACACTTAACCAATCAATCAAAAGACATCTAAACTTTGCTCTCAAACAAGCAAGAAACCAAAAAGCTGCATTTTGACCAAACCATGCCCTTTTTAGTCATATATCCCCCATAGAAAGCCATCTTTTGTCAATTTTATAAGCTTTGCTACCTTCCCCTAGTATTGTAGTATCGAAACTCTTTAGGAAGCCTTATTTACATTTCATTTTCCAGAGTCCACAAACCCCTATAAACACAAAGAGAAGTGGTTGCAAGTAGTTGAACCATGCCCAACAAGGTTAATATCTTGCCCGAACCCCTTTTTGTTTGTACTTACATAAAGTAAATATGTTGTTTAATGTATATTTCATTGTCTTTTTAAATCACTTTCAACTATCTTTCATTCAAAGTCTCATATGTGATCAATTTGGCGGAACTTATTAACTTTACCTCTTTATGTGATAATTGTAATCAAAGGAATGGTTGGAAGGGTTCTGGACCCCCTTCATTTTGGACCATACAATATTATGAGTAAAAGTCCTTATTTACGAGGCAAGAAAAATAACTTTATTTAGCTTAACCCATATGTGACAATCCAATGATAATTAAGAAGTCTAAATAACTTTTGGCGCAAATAATCAACTTAGTTCATAACTAAACAATAGCCTTTTATACAAAGTTAACATTGACACGCTCAGATTCATGTTAGTTTTGATTGTGATCCTCAATGCCTAATAAAGGCCTGCAAAGGCACCTTTCAAACTAACAGCAAACTTATATTGCAACATTCCAAGCAACAAACATTGCCCAACATGCAAAAGCCCCGGGGAGCTGTAGGAGGGACATATCCAACCCGGACATAGTTTTGGCATGCTCGATTGCACCTTTTTTTTGTGATATTGTATGCCAAGGCAAAGGAAGGATCGAACGTTCAGGTGGAAGAGGAACCAGAGGAGAGGTTATCATGCTATGTTCCTTAACAGGAACTCTACAAAGAAAGTTGGAGTTAGAGTACTCCACACTTTATGATGGCTATACCAGGGAAATAATCATGGAAGAGGAACCAGTAATTCTTTTATTCCTGTTACTTGAGGAAAAGAAGGACATAGGGAAAATAAAGGAAAAGGCTGAAACTAGTCGGTAAGAAAAGGAAGAATTTCAGGAAGCAGTCTTGCCCGATCCTCTACTACCACCTCCAGAAGTTAAGAGGCAGGTTGGGTAGGAAGGAATGAAGATTAGCGCGTCCAACTCGGTAGGAGAACCAAATGGAAATGGCTTATCCATAACTAGGGGCAAGCCTCTTCCTTATAGGCCACCACCAATGGCTAATGAGGGAGGAAAAGCTAGATGGAGACAGTCAGATATATAGAATGAAGCTTTCTCAACAACAATCGTAGCTCGAAGTGGGAAACTTCTTATACCCCACACAATAACACGCTAAACAACAACTTAAGAATGAATTGGCTGAGTTGAGGAGGATTTAACTAAGGCTGCAGACATCTATGAAGAACTAATGAGGGCTCAGGTAATCTTGCTCGACAACACCAAGAATATGCCTAAAACTAAAGAACTTAGAGGGAAAAAGTATTGCAAGTTCCATTACACCTTCAACCACTCCATTGCTAATTATGTGCGATTTAGAGATTAGATCCAAGACCTTGTAATCAAGGGAAAACTATTGCGGAAGAAACCCTAAGCCAATATGATGATTGACATAGATCCATTTCTTGAAGTCCCAATCAACATGATAAACCTTAATTAGGTTGAGAGGGGAAATGAAATGCTACCATTGATGAAAGGGGAGAAAGAAAACAAGCAGTTAAGCCAAACAGAATGAGTCAGAATGCTGCCTAACAGGCCCCAAACAGCTATGGTCAAAGGAGTAATTTTGTGTAGCAAATGTTCAGACCCAAAACAGCCTGGTAGAGGCATTTATTAAGCACTATCAAATAATTGTTTGATCATTGGTCAGATGTACCAAGCTCCCGATCGCTTCTTCGGGCCATGCAATATGGCACGCAACTATGTTGGTCCGCCTGAGGCTCGTTGCAGCCTTACCATATAACACCCTTCAATTGGTTACCAAATACGAACTTGACATATCTCATCTACGTATTTTTAGTTGTGCGGTCTATATGCCGATTGTGTCGCCCTTATGTTGGTTATGATTCTCCTTTATCATTCATTAAGGAAGCGTCTTATAAAAGATGAATCTTTCTTCTGAGAATCACGAGATTTCAGTCTACTATGCTAGCTTAGATGATGTTTGGTATAGAAATGACCTGATAATCGACGATGCATTAGCATATATAGTAGCTATTGAGATTATGTTAAGCGATGACATTGAATTTCGTTTCGTTGATGAATGTCGACGTAAAAATTGATTGGTCAAATTGGAAACAAGCAATCCAAGTCGAACTCGATTCTCTTGTTAAACGTAAGGTGTTTGAGCATGTAGCTCCTACTCCTCCATATGTGAATCTCGTTGGCTACAAGTGGGTTTTCGTTCGGAAACGTAATGAGAAGAATAAAATTGTGCGTTACAAAGCTCGTCTTGTTGTACAAGGCTTTTCTCAACACCCTGGGATTGACTAAACGAAACTTATTCACCCATTATGGATGTGATTACTTTTCGTTACCTTATCAGTTTGGTAGTTTCTGTTCAAAACTGGATATGCATCTTATGGATGTGGGAACCGCGTATCTCTATGGAGATCTTGATATGGAAATCTAAAAGAAGAAAATTCCTGAATGACTTACATTGATTGGTTCAAATAGTTATAGCTACAAAACACGATTTCTATTCGGCTGAAGTGTTTATTATACGAATTGAAGTAATTCGAACAGATATGGTATAACCGTCTGAGTGAGTATTTGATAAGTCAAGGATATGTGAACAACGATCTATGCCATTTCGTGCCAGTTTTGCGATTGTTGCAATTTATGTCGACGACATGAGTCTCATTGGAACTCCAGAAGATCTTGAGAAAACTGTCTCACACTTGAAGTCGGAATTTAAGACGAAAGATGTTGGGAAAACTTATTACTGTCTCGGTCTCGAGATAGAACATTGTTATGATGAAATCAGAGCATTGTTCGGATGGAAACATAGTACATCAATTGAACTACACCTATAAGGTGTTGTGCTGTTTTAATAAGGATAAAGCTAAGTCTTTGAGTACTCCTATGGTCATTTTATCGCTAGATGTAAAATGAGATCCTTTCTATTTGAAGGAGGGTGAAGAAGAGATTTTGGAACCCGAAGTTCCTTATCTAATTGCGATATGCGCTTTATTGTACTTAGCTGAATGCAGTAAATCTGACATCTTCTTCGTTGTTAATCTTTTGGCAAGATACAATAATGCACCAACACGCAGACACTGGATTGATATTAAAGACATCTTCCACTACCATAAGGGTATGACGAATCTATGCATGTTCTATTCCTACGAATCCTCGAGAGGTGCCACAACCCCTTTTGGTTCTCGAGTCGATTCCCGCCTTGTTGGTTATGCATACATTGGTACTTATTCGACTTACACAAAGCGCGCTCTCAAACGAGTTATGTCTTTAGCGTTAGAGGCACCCCCAATATCTTGGAGATCAACCAAATAGACCTTAGTTGCCATTTCTTCGAACGTGCTAAAATACTCTCCTTGTATGAAGCTACTCGAGAATGCTTCTGGCTGAGAGCAGTTATGGATCATATTCGAAGCATTTGCGATCTTCTTTTTGTCGCTGACGTCCCTACACGATCTATGAAGATAACGCAACATGTATCAAACAACTCAAGAAGGGTTGCATCAAAGGAGACAACACCAACACACATTGTGCCAAAGTTCTTCTTCTCACATCAACAACAAGAGCATTAGAAAATTGAAGTCACACAAATCCGTTCTTAAGACAACCTAGCTAACCTCTTCACCAAATCACTGTCGAGGACGACATTTCAGAAGTTTGTTCAAGATTAAACTTTTTGAGTTGTAACATTGTTAGTTCTCCATGGGATTATGCCAAACTTAAGGGAAATATCCTGAAGTATACTCGCTTGATCTTACGAGGCACTCATCCTGTGTTGGTCATATCTCTTATGTACGTCTCATAAACATAGATGTACTTCTCCTCCTTAGGCATTGCATAAGGGAATAACATACCTTCAGAATTACATCTCTCTCCCTGCTGTGCCCCTCTCTGCCAGATAAAAGAAACCACAACACTTTTTACATTAGCAACCCATAAAATGTTGAATGCACCCCACATTAAAATTTAATATTAAATGACTTATTTACCATGCTATGCAATGACAATTTTGTCTTTATTAGGTTTAAAAAAAAAAAAAATCTAAATACACCCCAAATCACTTTTAGCGTATTATTTATGTTCTCAACTATAAAAACCCTCACACCCTCCATTGTTGAACAAAACCCAAACCAATGAAACGACAAACATGTTAATTGAGAAAAATTGTTATTGACAAATGGAAGTAATGGATACCAATGTTTTCTAAGTGCTCTACACTGCAGAAATGAAGTTCGTGAAAGTCAAAACAAAAATTACGTACCACAAAGTTAAACCTAGCAATGAAGTCATTGCTGATGTCACCCAATTAAACGAAGGTAGACATCTGTCGATGCAAACTATACTAAGATGATTTCAAATCATCATTTTGAAATCGTTCGGCAAACTAAACGTTCAAATGGTTAGATTCAATCCCTAAAAATTAAAAATGAGTGTATAAGATTTGAGAAATGTGGGGTGTATGTACAAAATATAATGTGTATATTGAGAATGTGGGGTGTATTAAGATAATTTTTAAGTAAAAAAGCAAATGTATGATGTATTAAGTATGTATGGTTTATTTAATAATTAGTGAGTTGTTAAAATAATAAGCCTTTTTATTTTGTAGTTTATGCTTTTGTGAATTTTGCATTTACCAAAGTACCCATCCGAATCTAAACTAGAAATGAATAGAACCCTATTTTTGTTGTAGTTCTAATGATATTAGAGATTCCACGGCTTCCAAAAATCAGAGATTTGCGCGGTCGAAAGTTGGGAAAATTTTTAGGTGTACCGGGTACACCAAATTTTTTTGGTATACCCTCACTCATTAGAATTTTTTTGGTGTACAAAAAGTGAGGGTGCACCAAATTTTTTTGGTGTGCCGGGTACACCGAAAAATTACTCCGAAAGTTGAAGTAAATATTTTGCTTTAGGGCTTCAGGGAAAATGGGTCGCCCAACAGGCCCACACTGAATTGTGATGCTGGGAGCCGTCAGATCGGTTGATTGCAATGCGATCTAACGGATACACTCATATACGGCAGAAATAGAGAATGGCAAAGGTTTTTCTCTCTTACTCGCAGAAAGCCATGATCCGCCGCGCATACAGATCCGCTCCCGTGATCGGCCGCGTACAGGAATCCGTTGCCATGTTCTGCCGTGCAATCCGCGGAGAAGCACAAGCCCAAGCAAAAGCCAAGTCTGAATCTGTCCAGGGGAAGAACAGCGGACAAAATGTGAGCGTTAACGGTAAGCTTTTTTCTTTTATTTTTTTAATTTTTTTTTTAATTTTAGGGGGTTTATTATGCACTTATTTGCTTCTAAATGAAAAATATTTAAATTTGTTTTCGGCTGAAGCTTGTATTTCATGCCAATTTAGTTATGCATCTGTCATATATAACCATTTTGCAGTCTTAAATTAGCACATAATTGAATTGAACTGAACTGTATTGTTTGTAGAAACATAAAAAAAATGATTCAGAAGTTGATGTCGTTTGCATTTGCAGCATTCGAATGTGATCGTTAATAAAGTAAATTAGTTTAAGGTTGTATGATTTACTTAACGTATATGAGTGTAGCAATAAAACTGTTCCTATTAAATGGTTGGTGGGCCTTGAGATGCTCCTTATTAGTTTAAATTGTTGAATTAAGCTTTACTTCTTGTAGATAAATGATTGATAACTTTGTTGCTGTTTATGCTTACAGTATTTGAATGAGATGTAGAATATTCAGTTACTCAGTATGCCTAGCTTACATAGGCTACCTATTGACATTGTGATGCAACGCGTTGGCTGATAATTTGTGTAGTTGGTTCCATAGTGTGACTATATTGTACATACATAATTTCCTTGTGTATCCTATTTTTCTATTGCTTACAATTCCGAATGTCAATTTTCAGGTTGTGATCATTATTTCATGAGATTTTGTAGATACCTCCATCTACAATTTCTACCCCGTATGCATCGACTTTTTTTTTTTTTTTTTTTAATACTAAAAATATGGCTTTAGAGTAAAGTTTGTTAGCGGAAAATTCATTCACAATACCGCACTGTGGTATCTTTGTATTTTCACGTTCCTGATCCCCCCCCCCCTCCCTCTCTCTCTCTCTCTCTCTCTCTCTCTCTCTCTCTCAACACCACCACGTTCTCGAATTCCAACTCTTGCTTCTGCTTTGATGGTATATAAGCAAGAGTTGCAAGCTTGAACGTGCTGGTGTATGAGCGAACGGTCCTTTAATTAAATTTGTGAAACGAATGACTTATGCTACTATATGATCAGTTGGTTTGTTTACCTTAATAATATGTTCTTCTAGTTCATCCCTTTGTCTTAATGTTCTTTTACAGGAGAATACAAAGAATCGACTATTACTGTGATTAATCTCGAAAATGGAGACCTCATGGTTGTATCAGATACAAGGAGAACCAAAAAAGTTGATCTCGTCTCTAGAGTAGGTAAAGTTTTCAACATGTGTTTTGCTTTATCCCATTTACCTAATCATTCATTATCCATCCGTATGTCAAGTCGTTTGAAATTAAACTAAGTGCTGCTAACTTTCTTTGTTTTAATCTTAGTTAATGGTGATAATTATTGTTTAGTTGGTTCTTGTATATATGTAGTTGAAAATTACAAAGTTGCTTGCATGAATCTAGCCAGGCTCAGCCTATGTTTATATATGCTGAACTCGAACAGAGTTTATCACACAACTCCTAGTTTTTGGACTTTGAATTAGGGTTTCTTATCCATGACATATCTTTTGATGATATTGTTGTATACAATCTGTCAACATTGTGCATTCATTTGTATTTTTTTTGTTGTTTTCAGTCCATGATAATGTGAACAAAGTTCATGTTTTGAATGGAAATGTTGTTGTCGCTGGGGTTGGAAACATGCAAGACTCGACAATGGGAGCGTATGAAATGAAAAATACTATTTTCAAGAAAGGCGAAAGTCATCTTAAGCAAGTAATAAATAAAGGAATCGAATATATTAATAATTTGACTCATAGTACAACATTAGGTTACTTGATTCTTGGTGTAGAGAATCAAATGAGATCTATGTGGTATCTTTCTTACTCAAAGAATGACAATGAGTATCCGAGGAGAAAGTTGAAGGCGTATCCACACTACCATGCCTTTGGTTCAGGAGCCAAATATATATGTGAGTATCTTGAGATTTCAATGAACCATCCCATCAGTATCAATGAGAAGACGGCACAAGCGATAGCAGAATTTGGACACTTAATTGCATCCTTGATGGATCCTGCTACCGGAGGGTACATAATGGGTGAGTGCTATTTAAATGTTATTTTGTTCATTATCTCACATCATATTTAATATGTGATCTGATCTTTTATCTAATTGTCTCACAGTTCAACTTGCTACGGAAAATGGTGTTAAAGTACTATCCCTAAATAATGTACTTGCTTTGCTCCTGAAATACTATGATAGACTTGAACCGCTTTTTAAAAGATGTATTTTCATCGTATATAAAACGAAGAAGGTGTTCGATCCGTTTGGCAAGTTCAGATACATTGAGCCCGATGTCAACTTGGACGCATTAAGGATGTTGATTGAGTATGTTTTATTATTTATAATTTTGCTTGTACGTTAATTCATTACTTTGGTTTTATTGTTTATATAACTAATTTATCAATATGTGTTTTACTGTTTTTAAATTTTTGCAGGGGAAAAAATGGAGAGAGAGGAGTGATTTATATGGGACATCCAATGTTTGCGTTAGAGGATAGTTACTACCTTCAGATGGTACTATTTGAGAAGTCGAAGTCTGTTGCCTCAGCGATGAAGAAAGCATTGGATGTTTCGGTGAACTCTCTTCCAATTGCTTCAAATTTAGCTGGTATTAAGTTTTTGGATGTTGAAGGAAAGAAAGTTTACATCATGCCTTCAACGAAATCCAATTTGGCGAACATGAAGCCTTACTTGCCTCCAATAGACTTTAGCTTGTAATTTGACTGTAGTCACTGTTTGAGTTTTGGGAAACAAAGTTTATCGCTTGGAAGTATAATATTGGGTAAATTATATAAAACTATTTCAACTATTGAGTCAGTCACAGTTTCATACTACATTTTAAAAAAATTTCAATGTCATACCTCATCTACGAATTTTTTACAATTTTATACTTTTCGTCAGTTTTCTGTTAATTCTTTCGTTAAATAGTGACTTAGCTTGAGATAGGGTCCACTATTTATTAAAAAATTAATAAAATATTAAAAAACTAAAAAAAATCATTTAATATTTTTTTTGCATGGGGACCCATCCCTTACCCTTTCTTCCCGCTCCCATCTTCCCAAAACCCAAACCCCCACCCCTTCTTTGCCGCTCTAGTCCTTCACCAACCCACCGCTGCCCTCTCTTCCTCCATCTCTTTCGTCCTATCTGTGACCATGGACTCATGGTCTGAGATCTAGATCAAGAAGATGGAGGTTGGCAGCAGCGAGCTGCTCAACACCCCTTTTCCCCACCCGAGCCCACCTCCAAATTAGAGACACTCCCTCTTTCTCTCTAATCCTTAGCTCCAAAAATCCCCTTATCGTCCTGTCTTTTTGAGTTCTCGTCATCGTCGGTGTCGAACTCCTAGTTGTTGGCTTCTCTCTGATGGTCGAGTTCCTCTCGTCCATGAACTTTCTCAGAGGGTTGTATTAGAGCTTGTCCAGCGCCACCATCAGCAGCAGGAACTGCACCATCTGGATGGGAAGGGTGAGGTCGAAATCGAACAGGGCCGCCTTCTTGAACTCCTCCGCCAAGGTCAGCAAGGTGGGGGCGATGGCGGAGAGGGAGGTGGAGAGGAATATCAATTGGGGCTTTGTGAGCTTTGGGAGGTTTGATGGGATTTTGGGGATGGAGATTTGTAATGGGATTTGGGAAGAAGGGAAGATAAACTGGATTTTTTTTTTACTTTTTCTTTAATTAGTTATTTTAATATTTAAAAATATTAAAATATTTTTTTTTTTTTCAATTTTTAATATTTGATTAATTTTTTAATAGACAGTGGGTTCCGTATCAAGCCACATCACTATTTAATGGAAGAATTGATAGAAAACTAATGGAAGGTATGAAATTGTAAAAAATTCTTAGATAAGGTATGACATTGAAATTTTGTAAAGATGGGGTATGAAACTGTGACTAACCCAATGGTTGAGGTAGTTTTATATAATTTACCTTATAATATTTATTTAGAATTATGCCCAGCATTTCATATGGCGATGTGAATTGTCATACCTATTTAGTAGACTTCGTGATGGTTCTCGAGTTTCCGACTTTGGTAACTTCGGTAACTTTGGTAACTTGTTAATTATGATCCCATCTATGAATGAATGATTTTGTAGATGTGAATCTTCCTTGTGAATTTTGCTCTTCTATTATTTACTCTTGTGCTTTTGGTTTCTATTTGCATGGTAATTTATGGACATTGTTGCTGGAACTTCCTATCTACTTATAGGTCTGGTGGGTTGTTCCACCACCTATGTCATTTCATTAGGACTTTCGTCGTCTTTGAACCATCTTTTTGAGGATAGTCTCTTAAGTGGTTTATCATTTATGGATGACAAAGTTATGATTTGAGTGGAATATTAATGCAAATTTTAAACAACCGAAAAGTCGCGGTAGAAAAAACGATCAAAATAAGGGACCAAAAGTATTATTAGAATTCGTCTGATCCTTATTGGTGGTTGGAACATAGATGAGCAATGAACAAACTTACTGCCGTTTCACGATGAGCAATGTTTTGATTTCATCCAAAAAGCATCTCTTACTAGTTGGAAACCCTAAACCGAAAAGGGAAACAAAGCGAGAAATGATAATAAATGATGTTAGAAATGCAAAAAAAATGGATGTTAAAACGGATACTGAAAAACCATTTAATACTACGATTTAGTAATGTTCTTCTTCATTTGCAAATGAGAGGTCTTAAGTTCGATTCTCGCCAAATGCGAATTTGAACCACATTATTGCTAGCTCATTGTAAGGCCAACCACACCCTCTCTTTCTCTTAGTATAGATAATATTGTTTGTTTTGAAAAAAAAAAAAATCCTATATGGAAAACTTCGAACACTATTTATGTTGAATTTTCAACGCTACATCAGTGTCCGCTTTGTGAAAGCATGGACGAGCCTCATTGTCACTCACTCCTCTATCTGTTTATGGTTCCTCAAGTTCCCTAGGCTCCATGTCACTCATTCCTTTCCTCAAGCTTTATATTCATTTCCCTCATCCTTCTTTTTCCTGTCCCTCAAATGTGCTTTCAGGTCCACAAGGAAGTTCATCTTTCCTGTCCCTCAAAACCAGGGTGCCCACCTGGCTGACCACAACAATCACAAACTATTCCATACCTACCGTCAACAACCACTGCATGCTTAGCACTTGAGAGACTGTGTCATGTGCCACCGAGTTGTGTCTCTTAACCCCTGAGGTCTGTGTCCTCCCTTCTTCCATGAGCCTTGATTTCTCATCTTTCCCTGGGCCTTAGTCGGGCCTTCTCTTGAGCCTGCATTATTTCTAGGGCCGCAAAGGATCCTGTGTTAACAGTGGGCTTGATGCATGTTCCCAGGAGAAGAAAAAAAAAATCGCTTCATCATATTCATAGGCAAGATATCGAAATTGCTCTCTTAATTGGCTTTATATTTGGCGTTGCTTCTCCAAACACTACGTACAAAATTCCAATTTGTCCATTGGTTGGGTTCGAGGGAGTACTCCTCAGGTGGTGGTTTAGAAATTAAAAGTCAGAAGAGACTCAGTGAGGAACCATGAACTCGATGTCATCTCCACACTTCTGATGTTTTCAGGCGATTTGCAACTTCTTTCTCACTTAGAACAATTAATTAATGCATTCTGGAAATTCACTCATCTGAAAACCGACAATAATTTTAGGGAACAGAAAGGGTAATATGATATCGAAGAGAGATATAAATGGAAAGTCCCTTGGAATCACTCCAACAACCAATTCACCAACCTCATAATTAGTAAAATGGTCAACTCCCATATATCATCCATACTTAACAGAAAAGTAACTGCACTTCAGACAAGACCTGTAATTTGAGATGACACTTCCACGCGTTCAACATCAAGTTCCCCAGGCTCCATGTCCCTCGTTCCTTTCCTCAAGCGTCGTATAGTTTTAACTCAAACTTCCTTCGCAAGTCCCTCATATATGCCTTTAAGTCCAGAAATTTTTCTTTCTTGGGCTCCTCTCCCAAAATATCATCCTCTCTCATTTCTTTTCTCCATTTCTCACGTTGTTGGGGCTCAACGCACAGGCAATCTATAGTCCAGTGCTCACCCAATACCATACAATAGGTACATAACTTGAGAGTAGCACGTCCTGTCCAACCCCTGCGAGCAGGGTGGCCCCCCGGCTGAGTACAACAATCACAAACTATTCCATACCTACCGTCAACAAGAGTTACCTCCAGAGGGTTTGGGATATGTATCATGTAAGGGCAACCAGCACTCGTGTGGTCTTTCTCCTTTCCACAAACTCCACAAGGACCATATCTAAGTTTTGCCGCTGCTAATTGTGCTTCCAAGTCCTTGCAGCCCTTTCTTCTTTCCTGCATCATTAAATACCAAAAACAAAACGAATAAAAATCAAATCATTAAGCTTAGCATAGCCATGCCGCCTGCTTAATATATTATAGGTCGGAATTTAACTTCAAGGATAGTACGCAGATGAAATTTATTTCCCAAACTACAGGCTCAATTAAACTGCTAACCAAATGGAAGCCATGCACAGGCGTTGAAAGTAAAGACAAAGGATCAAATGAAAAGCATACCTTGGGCCGCACAGCGAACAGGATCATCCACAACAGTGGCACGTCCCATAGGAATCACTTCACCACGAATCTTTGGTTTTTTGGTTACATCTCCACGAATTTTTGGTTCTATTGCCTTGTGATCTGTTTGAATTTTACAATTCCATCTTAGAGTCAAATACAAATAAAAGAAGGGGAGGGGGAAGGACCGAGGAGCATCTCAAGGCCCGTGCAATAGGAACATCTGAAATTTTATTGCTAAAACGCGAATTACGCAATGTCTAGACCATAAACTATCTAAAAGAAGCCAAATAAGTGCATACTAAACCCTAAGAAAAACAAATACTTACGATTACGACGATTGCGAGTCCCTCTATTCTCCCCCCGTACCGATTCTGACTTGGCTTTCGCGTGGGCTTCTGCTTCTCCGCCGATTGCGCGGCGGAACATGGCAACGCATTCCTGAACGCTACCGATCACGGGAGCGGATCTGAAAGTCCGGCGGATCATGGCTCTGCGAGTGAGAGGGAACCAGAAACCTTAGCTATGGCTCGTTTTTGGATGATGACGGATGTTTATATTCATTTGGGCCTGACGGGTCGGGTCAGTGTGGGCCTGACGGGTGACCCATCTTTTGGGAGGTTCTCTCGAGCGTGATATTTATGTTCTTCCTATGAAGACAGGTGACCTATATATTTTAAGAAAATTAACGAAAAGTTTAAAAAACTTTAATTTTAATGAAAAAATAACAAATAAAGATATAATGAATAATGTTAGAGAAAAGTAAAAATATGAATTTTCGTTAAAAGTGAACAGTATCAGAAATATTTCGTTAAAACTCTCTAATTAAAAATCAACGCTCCTTGGTTCAACGTCCCTTCTACGTTGGTACTTGTCGACATTGGTGTCTGGAGGTGTACGTGGAACCTTATGTGGAGGGCCATAAGAAGGGCTACGGCTACCAATTTGTTTGGATTAGGAGGAGTCCACTGAAGATTGAATGCGTACATTTGCGAGACTCATGTTTCATGTATTTAAACGATTTAAGTACAAATTTTACTAATTTTTTCATCACTGCATAGCTTATAATACGAAGTTTATCATATAAAAGCAAAAGATTACCAAAAAGAGTCGTCACATCAAATCCATAAACTTGTTTATTATCATATCTAATCGTGATTTTGAAGGAAACAATATCCAAGATAAATAAAATATGTTAATCTTATCCAAGGAAATTCATGATCACCGAACGCAGCACCAAGTTGCAGAGAACAAAATCTGCAAAAGCCCGTTCTGGTGCTAAATCCTGCAGTTTTTACACGCATGGATCAGGATGACGGAATACGATGAGAAAAGATGTGGTAGACAATGTTACCTATGTTGTAATATCTCAATATATGATGAAGAATTGACACGAGAGAAAGAAAACTCGTCTAAAATATGCATACACGTCACAACTATCAAGGACAAGAATCACACTTTTACCTTAAATTCTTTGTTTTCTTTGTTCACTTGAATACGGAGACAAACTGCAAAAGAAATAATCAGGATGAGAGTCAAAATCCTCACATCTAACATGGATTTACACCTGAAAAAGAAATAAACTACTTATTCCTCCTTACCAGCAAGGACTGCTGTCCCGATGCAAGAAAGTACTCCTGAAAGGAAAGAGTTGAATGGGAATGGCCCGACAATAGCCATGTAGACTACCTGTTCAAAACAAAGTAGAAAACCAAATGAAGATTAAACGAACGATATAGAGTTCCAACGCAGACGTTGACTTCAACCATTCAAGCTCTAGTTTTCTAGTAGTTAATGCATCATTATATTATCAGAAAATAGGAATTCAAATAAACATATGTTAAAGTGATAGAGACAAAGAGTGGACATGGTGAATCTAACTTTGTTGCTGTTTATGCTTACAGTATTTGAATGAGATGTAGAATATTTGGTTGCTCAGTATGTCTAGTTTACATAGGCTACCTATTGACATTGTGATGCAACTCATTGGCTGAGAATTAGTGTAATTGGTTCCATAGTGTGACTATATTGTACATACCTAATTTCCTTGTGTATCCTATTTTGACTTCATCCAAAAGTATCTCTTACTAGTTGGAAACCCTAAAACCGAAAAGGGAAACAAAACGAGAAATGATAATAAACGATGTTAAAAATGCAAAAAAAGAAAATCGATGTTAAAACAGGATATTGAAAAGCCACTTAATACTACGGTCTAATAGTGTTTCTCTTCACTTGTAAGTGACAGGTCTTAGCTTCGATTCTTGCCAAAGGCGAAATTGAACCACATTATTGCTAGCTCATTGTGAGACCAACCACACCCTTCTTTCTCTTAGTGTATATATTATCATTTGTGAAAGCATGGACGAGCCTTATTGTCACTCACTCCTCATCTGTTTATGATTCCTCAAGTTCCCTAGGCTCCATGTCACTCGTTCCTTTCCTCAAGCTTTATATTCATTTTCCTCATCCTTCCTTTTCCTGTCCCTCAAATATGCTTTCAAGTCCAGAAGGAAGTTCATCTTTCCTGTCCCTCAAAACCAGGGTGCCCACCTGGCTGACCACAACAATCACAAACTATTCCATACCTACCGTTAACAAGAGTTACCTCCAGAGGGTTTGGGATATGTATCATGTAAGGGCAACCACTAGAACCTCAAACCTATGTTCATCTACAATAACGTCTTGCTTCACATCTGGAAAATAACATGGTACTTGTAAAGTTGTACTCCCAAACATGCTTGCAGACGGTAATTTTCTCTTGTGAAAAACTTAAATGAAAAAAAATAACTTTAGGCCTACAATAACTATAGAAATAGACTCGTGTTCACAAAATTAAACCTACCAAAACACAAATGATTACACAAAGTAAAACTTTGCACTCACTAACACACCAATTGATAGGATTAAAAGCACACCACAAAGTAGCACACAAATGTCCTATTGATTTTCCTTATTAACACTAATATTTGTCAATTGTAGCATATGAAAATAAGGGTATTTTCCGCAGAAGATTGTTTTATCTAACTACTTAAAATGTCACAAAAACTGGGCTACTGTCCCTACTGGCCAGCCACCAAAAAATAATTAATAGACCGACTTATACTTATCTAAAGTCTACGAAATTTTATATGCAGACACTAGACACACAAAGCTACACTCACACAAATTTTTGAGATTTTTGGAGTTAATTTGCTATTTAAATTAAATCGAACAAAAAAAGAACAGAAATAGATTTTAAGTAGTTCACAAATTAAGAAAAAGAAGTTAGGGGAATTGCTATTCACGCCCAAATAATCATACAAACAAGTTATGTTTCATTCAAATTCCTTTTATTTCTGGATGAAGATGCTCAAGTTGGCTCAATGTTAGAACTCAACCTATTACTCTTTCTTATGTAGTATGTTAAGAGAATGGCGTTTTCAACTTAACTTAGTCCCTAACATGCAATCTAGAACGGCGTGTTCATAGATTTAACAAGTAGAAATCATTAAGAATGAAAAGAGTTTGAGTCATCACAAGGCATTGTAAGTACTGGCGTTGTCTTACTTATCCTAGAAATTGGTTCACATGTTATTCACAATTACAAAGTACTACTCTAGAACATATGTAGGTCCTCATTCGACAAGGACACAGGCACACACATATTCATAGCATTAGAATCCTAGATATGCTTACTAAGTATGCATCCGTAGAAAACACATAAAGAATTCATCAATGAGACAAGTAGTGAATCAATTTTCATCCGTTCATAAAAGTAATTCAAACGAAATATCATAACAAACTTGCAATCATATTCGGGGCTTCAAACAGCCCCTAACTACTAAAAATTTAGTTACACAATCCTTAAGTTAAAACAAAAGATAGACATGAGTTTGAGAAAATAGAATCGAAAGAAATCGACTGAGGCTTCCCATTTCCTTCCTTCCCCAACGGTACTTTTAAACCAATTCTTGCTGCATCATTTTCTTCTCCTTAACTCACCCATTAATAGCCATTTAGTGATGACAATAAATGAGAGGAAATGGTAAAACAATTTTAACTCCTTAGGGTAGCCTTTATGCCAATTACTCCCTCTTAATCCTCATCTTTAATTCCATTTCCTTTGATATTTGAACAGGTGTCAGCTGATTTGTTCTTGATTGCATCAGTTTTGGCTGCTAGATTTATGGGATTTATTGCTTTCAATGCTTTCTTGTCAGTTACAAACTACTCAGCCTCTTGGAAACCTTTTAGTGTTAAAACGGCCATAACTTCTTCTAGAAAAATGATATTAACAATTTGCGAAATGCTCCAGAAAATAGACATCCGTAGCTTTCCAAGCATTAAGGCTCATTCTCTAATTCATTCTGAGCTGTCCGCAACTTGCTTACAAAGTCAGCTGACGTGCACAGGCAGTTTTGACGAATTTGTTACTTAAAATCCCACTTGTGCCATTTTTCTTTTCTTTGCTTGACAAATCCTACAAAACACAAAAACAAAGTAAATAGCTCAAAAATATACGAAACTAACTAAGAAAAGACAAGTGAATTTGATATAAAATATGTATAAATATGGGCTTGTCAAATACCCCCGCACTTAGCTTTTGCTAGTCCTCGAGCAAAACAAAGAAAACATGAAAAACATTAGTTCCCACTATGTGACCCTCGTAGAATTTCATTCAAGAAAACAAATCATCAAGAACCTTAGCTAGCACCAAATAAGCTAATCCAAGCTCATCTTCCTTATTCAAATGTTAACAACGACCTTTTAATCATCCTTGAAGTGTAGTGTGTGTAATAGCCATGCTAATGCAATTTCAAGTTTTTTTTTTTTAAAACACCACATGCAAATGTTGATGTATATTTCCTTCCTAATGCTAGAATATATTTAGTATAATGGCACAAGCAAGGGTGTCGAATCCACAGGGACTAATTGGACCTATGTAATTACTTGTTTTGCTAGAACTCTAAGAAATGAATCAAACTAATCAAACTAGGCATGTTAAGAAACTAGGCATGTTAAGAATTGAATCAAACTAGTCTAAATAGGCAGATTTGTTATTGAATCTTGAAAGCATAAGAAAATGAAATAAACACAAACCAATGAATCAACAACTAATATATTGGGATAGTATCAATGGAAATGAAGCTAGGGATTCGATTTCACCATTGCTCAACTAAGTCCATGTTTGTTAAGTTAGTTTATACTCATTCATCTACCTATTTCTTGAGTTTGTTTCACTTGGATATGATCAACCATATGATGTGTGGATTTGATCAAATGTCTCTAATCTTGAACCTAATTGTGATGTGCAACTTTGGTTCATAATCTAGAGTATGTAATGCACAAGAAACGTTCACTAAACCAAAGGGAACACTTGGCAGGATGTTTGCCAAGCTTTCCCTTCATTCATTCACAAATCCACCAATATTAGACATGATGTATGTTTTAATCTTGGCTAAATAACTTGTGGTTAACTCAAATGGAGATCAAGCATACAAATCAACTCACAAATTCACAATTATAACAGAGAATGAAGCAAGAACTAGATAGACAAAATGAGCATTCTAACTTAATTACATGGCAAACTTTGCAAGGTTACATCGAATCCCTAGAGGAAGATTAGTTACACTTCATGTTTACAAACGATTTGACATAGAAATATAAAACATGAATGAACATAGAATTGATAAGAATGAACCCTTGAAGCAAATCTGATGTTGAAGTCCTTGAAGAGTCCCTTGGTGCTCCTTCTCCAAAAGTGGTGCGGATAAAGGTTGAATGGTTTGGTTGAATGGTTTCTGCCCTTGGGACAGAAATGGAGTGAAAATGGGAGAGGTTTTTGGTGTGGAATGGACTGAAAATGAAGAAGAACTTGCGGAACTGCCTTATGTGTGAAGTATGCTTAGTTTAATAGGAATGAATCTTGTTCCAACATTCAGATTGGATCTCTTGCACAAGTCAGATGGAATGATGGTTTTCTGAGGTAGTGGACACATGGGATGGACAAGAGTTGCAGGTGTGTGGTTTATTTAATCAAGGATGCATGTGTTCTTGCTGCAACAAGTGGGTGGAGTCTGCAAAAGTGAATTAAACCACCATAAATTGTTTATACAAATCTGAAAGGGGGAAGAGAACACACGGTTTGAACAAGGAGATGAGTTGGATTTCTGAAATGATGGCTGCAAGGAGTTACTTGTTTAATCACAATGCATGTGAATTTCTGCAAAGATGAAGTGTAGACATGTAATGGAGTGCACGGAATGGATGTGAATCATGCATATGAAGGTGTGGCTGATTTGATTAAGTAATGGAAGTGGATAATCTGACTTGGAACCACATGGGATTTGCATGACATGATTGTGTTTGTTGGTGGAAATATGGCTGAATGTTTAAGTAATGGAAATGGGTGTTTTTGGCGCAAAAGAGAGATGAACAAGTAGTGGAATGCACGGCTAGGTTGTGGCATATCTGATTTGGTGCTAGAATTGCATAAAATGATGGAATGATATGGGAACACACGGCCAAGGTTGTGACATGCATGTGGATGCATGTTTTTGGCGTTGGAATCACATAGCTAACTTCACTGATTTTGCCTTGTTTAGAATCACCCAATATGGCCGAATTGCATTTCTTAACACTTCACATCTTTTCTAGAATGTTTTTGCTTCATTTGCTTTCCCATTGATCCAAATTCACCCTTGGCTGCACACTAACACCAAATAATGTAAAATGCAACTAGTTTAATCCAAAACAATCACAAAAATGCCACATAAGGAAGATATAAATGTATGCAAAATGTGACTTATCAGCAAACTAGTGACATTCTCACGGGACATACACTCAATCACACATATGTTTAGTTTAACATGTTTTGCTCAAAGAATCAAATGTGAAAGATCTACCATAAGCTTGCGTAAAGATCTCATCTCCACAATCATAATTGCAAAACTAAAATCAAGAGGACTTTTATTGGATATAATGAGGCTTAGGGAGAGGGTTATAGAAATGAAAGGATAGGTAAACACAAGTTACAAGCTATATTGCAAGCAATTCTCTTGTTGAGATTTATAAGAACTTAACCTCTCCAACCACTCTACTAATACCTTCAACCACACCCCTAAAATGAAACTTAAAGACCTTTTTATTTGCTTTGTATACAATTTTTCTTTTTCTTCTTCTTCTTCTTGTTTTTTTTTTTTTTTTTTTTTTGGGAACCAATTTTGCACATAACTAGATACAAACATGAAATACGCCCACACTCATTCTTTTGCCAACCTCCTTCAAAGTACTTCACATTTATCATAAGACAATCTCACATTGCTCACTAGCTAGCTTGGAAAGGGTAAGGGAAAATGTTTAAGGTATAAGGGCAGACATATCTGGTGATAAGAAATGAAAGATTTAACATATACGACTCAAATTGGCAATCTAATGATATCATTTTTCTTTAGGAAACATGCTTATTTGGGCCATGGTGATAAACCTAATGCCTCTATCATTTTCAAGTTCATGCAATCAATAACAAACATTTCGAATGATCATTACGCAAGTTCTAGAGATGTAAGTCACATAAGTTCATCACACATGAAAGAACATGCATGTATGAAAAATGCACACACATTCAATAGGCTCAAAAACTCACATAGGCTATATTTGGTCACTATATTCACATACGAAGTTTTAAGTCATGCTTTAGTTTCACATCAACAAGGCTATGTGCATTTGGTTCTTCAAAGATGGTTAAACATATACAA